AAATAAGTTACCCGGGCAATTGATTTACATTAGCCAATCAAACGAATGTCTGACCATGAGACGACCCCTATAAAAAATAATGTCCATTTTTGGTGGTCGTTATATAGGTATCAAGAATGTAATTTATGCAGCATGTAGATCATATATTGAATTAACTCCGCTTTAGCCGACCCATTTTTGGAATATTCCCAGACTGGGGACGCCTAAAGCGGGGCAAATTCAAGTGACCTTATATTTAATAATTTTCTCAATTAACTTTAGGGTTAGGGTCATCTTATATTAAGGTTAGGTTTTAGGTTGAAATATAAGCAAAATTGCCTTCCCGACATTTTTGATTAACCTACCCGAGGTAGGTTTAGATGGTCGTTTTTTGGTTGCTTCGCCGGCGATCATCAAAATTCTATATTTGATTGGCTGTGATTGCCCCCGCTTTAGACGACCCCCAGATATATAATCATGGATTTTGATCGCCCAAAAGTGTGATTATAAAGAGGGAAGACTGTATATAGTTTTTAACGTTAATATAAAAATCAATTTTTCGTTTATTTTTTATCAATATAAATCAAGAACAATAGCATTTACTATATATTATTTTACTTCAACTAAATGTTACGTATACAATAATTTGACTTTACATTTTATAGTAAATATCGATACTGGGCAATTCCAGCCCATCCGATCAGGATTCCGAAATTCCGACCCGGAATTTAGGGTAATTTGCTTGATCTTGTAATATAATTGGCCAATCAGTAAAATCTGTGAGGAACCTTCATCCCTTTCCTTATTTGCTAATGTTAAACAGAAAATTTGGTCTGGCCTATATAGTTCACTCTTTAAATCAAATGAATAACGAACAAACTCCAAGTAAAGAATTGATCCGTTCTAAAGGCAGCGAGACTTCACTTACAGACTCTCCTTTAAAACCAAAACAAGAGATTTTAGACGAAGATACATATACCGAGGCCTTAAGCGAGATTATTAAAAAGGATTTTTTTCCTTCTCTTCTAACTCTTGAAGCACAGCACGATTATGTTGATGCCTGGAATTCAAATAATCCAGATCTAATCAGAGATGCTACTCGTAAACTTAACGAATTAACTACGCCATCCAGGAAAACAAATGGTATTAGATTTATATTATGTATATTATGTTTAAGATTTAAAGCATTAAATCGCTAATGTAATTCTATCACACTACATCAAATTAAAGCTCCAACACCAAAAGGACCAGGATTGACTCCAGGATTAACTGCATCACAAGGAGGATGGGATACACCTGTATCCACTAAAGGATCCACCGTGTTTAAAGTTCCAGCGCCAAAGAAGAGTTATACGAATTTATCTTTGGACGCTTTTCAAGCAAAATACACAAGCGAAGATAATGCTTCATATCCTTAAAGTATTATAATTAAATTTTATCACAAAGTTATTTCCTTTTTATTAAAACCTTAATCAGACTGTCTACCTTTTCAGAGCTGATGCGCAAAGCTAATGAGCAGAGAAAAGAAAAATATAAATGGATGTATGATAAAGAAAAAGATCCATTATTGCTTGAAGATAATAAAGATAAACCAAAGTTGATCGAAGGAGCTTCTCAAGACAAGCCTGCTGAAATTGCTTCTTGGAAATATAAAGTTAATATCGTTCTTAATTTTGTTTCTTTATATCATTATTTGATTCCCCTTAACCTTTATTATTGTAATTCCTTGAATTAGGTAAAAAATTCATTAATGTTTTATCCTGAAGGCCAAGATCAAGTTCCTGAAGAGAATTCAAGAAGAGCACCAAAACAAATAGTCCACAATGCTACGAGATTCGAGTCTACAGATGAAACTGTAAGATATAAAGCAATATTCTTTAGTATTCTGTATATTGACCATTTAATCCACACATTTTATTTCTATCTTTAATTGTGTAGACAATTTACAATCACGCAGCCGCAACAGCAGCTGCTGTTGGACTTAACTTAGATTCGACCCCAAGTTTGTTTCGTCTTTTTTTTTTTTTTTTGACCATATCATATTACCAAAAATTTGATTGACATTGTTCCTAATATTCATGTAGATGAAAGTGCTTCTCATACTCCCCGAGTTGGTGGTTATAGTTTCGTTTCTGCCACACCGTCACCAAATCCTTCACAAATTGACACCTCAGAGCTTATGACCTGGGGTATGATTGAAGGTAGTCCTTTGTTAATTGGAGGAGATCAAACACCAGGTATATTATTTGCTAAGATATAAAATTTTTTGGATACAAAGTTTTCCAATATTATTTCGAACCATGCTGGTCAGTATTTAAGAGTCGTGCAAAATATGTTTATCGAATAATTCTTGTAAACAGATAAGAGAGTGAGAATTGAAATTAAATTTGAATAAGATTTTTTTTTAATCATTTATAATTTATTTAAAGGGCCCTCTTTTCAGCTGCCGCCAACCCCACGAAGAGAGATTATTGGAATGAATCTTTCAAGCAATGCATCCAGAAGTATCCGTAAACGTAATTCATCCATGAAGACACCACGAACTCTACACAGTCCAATTTCAAGGTTCGCATCTTTGATTATTATGTAAAGCATTTATCGGTAAATTTTGTGTACTAAATTGAAACTTTCACGCAGGATGGCGAGTCCCAGAGTACGCGCGTCTCTATTATCACCTGCAGCGCGTAAATTGCTACATAAATCAGGGTTCCCTTATGTCAAGCAAAAAGGGACCTAGGGATCGACTTCCGGGCCAATCCCGACGTAACGACAAACAATATGAATTGTAATCCATTGTGCCAAGTTAATATAAAATTTTTTAAGATTTTGTGCGATTAATAAAAATTTACAAAAAAAATTAATTTTTTATTAATTTTAACAAACTGACAAAATTGTAACCATTTCATACGAAAATTGTAACAAAAAATATCTAGAAAAAAACTTTAAAAACATTATCTAAAAAATCTACTACAAAACCAGCAAGGTGCTAAACATATTAAAAAGTTAAAATAGGCCAAAATTTCAATAAATGGTTAAAAAAAATATCGAAGAATTTGTTAAGACAATTTATCAAATGATTTATTAAAAAGATACCAAAAAATCAAAGAAATATATATCATCAAAGAATTTACTAAAAACAAAGAATTTTCTATGTCAAAAAATATCAAAGAGCTTGCTAACAAGATGTTGAAATCTACAAATATTAAAGAATACTTCAAGAAACGTTTATAAAATATCATCAAAAGAATTCAATAATGTATATTAAAAGAATAATCAAAAATAGTAAAAATCAATATATATTTTCAAGAAATAATAAAAAAATACATATATTGACGAAAGATTTATTAATATTCTAATTTTTAAAAACAAATGCTACGTAAACATATTTAATAATTATTGAAAATTATTTCTAAAAACTTTATAGTATATAAATTAGAATTTAATTTATTATATATATATATATAGTTATATTTAAAGTTTAGTTCTGCTACAGTGCGTGACACTTAAAGACTACATTTATCCATTTTAAACGCTAACAGTTACTGCGTATTAAAGTCAAAATTTTGCGTCAAATTAAAATCTGTGTCAGATTAAAAATCGTTACGTACGTACGTACGTACGTACTTTGCCAATACCTAACACATATGCTAATAAAACCAGGAATGGTAAATAACTACCCCAGGACAGATTTGATCAAATCAATATTTAAAATGACCCCAAGCCATCAAATAATGACCAGGTCGCATATAAAGCAATTTTATTGGTTGAATTGCTCATAAAAAGTTATGACAGTATATATTATGTATTACTTTTCTAATCGATAGTCGTAGCTTTACATTATTAAAATTAAAATTTTACAAAGTCAATTAATATTTATGCCTTAAGTAAAGTTGTTCGTGCGTGTATTTGGAAATTTTTATGTAAATTGAATACTTTTTGATTAATTTACTTTCGCATATTACGTTTACACGAAAAAATTTAAAATTTTTTCATATAAACGTAAGATGCGGAAGTGAATTAATAAAAAGGTATTCAATATACATAAAAATTTCAGAACATAAGTTATGCATAAATATTAATTGACTTACATAGTAAAATTTTGATTATATATAGCTACGTACAATTATTGATTATATTTTTATAAAATTTGGCGACCAATTCTGATTGGTTAAAAGGTATTATTAGAATATTAACTAACATATGTTAACGTTAAATGACCTTCTAAGGTCATTTGGGCCTTGAAATGACAAATGACTACGTACGTATGTACATAGTCATTTGTCATTTGGGTCATTGGTATGGTGTACAGGATTATGCTACGAAGATTGCCAAATTATGCATGCGGCAAAAGGTAAATCGCTATATTGATAATTGGTAGACTTTCTCCCTGTAGACCGGCCGGGAAATTTATTGGTCGAAAGCACGTGCCTAAGAAATTTTTATGATAAAGTTCGTAAAGATCAATCTATGTATAAATTTTAAGATCAATTCATAATGGTAAGTTGAGAAACTGATATCTTTATAATATATCCTATACAGTCAAAATATCATAAGATACAAGCTGATCGATTCTTGCATAATACAGAGACCTATTCTTTTGCAAGGACATACACGTCCTCTAACTCAAATAAAGTATAATCCGGAAGGAGATCTTCTTTTCTCTGTGTCTAAGGATCAAGTTGTGAACGTATGGTATTCACATAATGGCGAACGCTTGGGAACTTATAATGGCCACGTTGGGGCTATTTGGACCGTGGATGTCAATTGTATTTCATTCTTTAAATATACTCGGAATGGTTTACATAAAGTTCTTAATCTTATTTAATTTTTATATTCAACTTAGCAACAAGTACTCTTTTATTAACTGGCTCGGCAGATAACACTGCTAAACTCTGGGATGTACAAACTGGCAAATGCCTGCATAGTTGGGAATTCAAAACTGCGGTAAAGCGCGTTGCATTTTCTGAAGATGATACCATGGCACTTGCTGTAACTGAACGGCGTATGGGTTACCCAGGGAGTGTAGTGATTTTGTCAATTAAAAATGATCTCGATGCGGAACGTATGTTGTACTTATTCTTACATTCTTGATCTAACGGTTTGGAAATATTCATGATGCATATAATATGTCATTAATAGAATCAAACGAGCCTATTAATATCATCTATCCCGAAGGTTCTAAGGCGATGATTGCTGAATGGGGATATCTTAACAAATATATAATAACAGGGCATGAAGATGGAAGCGTTGTTCAATATGATTGGAAGGTTAGTTTTGTTTAAACTTTCACTATTGATCCTTAATGTAATTTGAAGTAATAAAATTTAAATCACAGACAGGTGATCAAATTAAATCGGTTCACCCACATACAGCTGAAATTACTGATCTTCAAATGGCGGAAGATCGCACTTACTTCATTACTTCGTCGAAAGATAAGTCCGCTCAGATTTTTGAATCTAGCACACTGAATCACTTAAAAAAATATATGACAGATGCTCCACTTAACTCTGCTTCAATAACCCCTATTCAAGATTTCGTAATTTTGGGTGGTGGTCAAGATGCTATGCAAGTCACCACAACTACCATGAGACAGGGCAAATTCGAATGTAGATTTTATCATAAAATTTTGGAAGAAGAAGTTGGTAGAGTTAAGGGTCATTTTGGACCTATAAATACTATTGCAGTACATTCTGACGGAAAGAGTTTTTCATCCGGTGGGGAAGATGGTTATGTTCGAGTGCACCATTTTGATGAAGATTACTTTAAATTTAAATACCCCGAGTTGCATTAGAAAACTATATATATTTTTTTAATAATACTGTATGATTTGGCAATTTAATAAAGAAACTAAATTATGTAAACTATTAATATGATCCGTTTGACGTTTATTTAATAAAAATAATATCTTGCTGAAGCAAGAAACGCGTCCTTTTATCCCACATTTTCTAGAGCTTCCATGATTACAACAGAATTTCCGCGTATAACCTACAGAGTTGTTAAATTATTAATTTTTGCAATATTTTATAAACCTTTAGATTGATCAATATGCTACTTACCACCATGCCAATGTTGTGCTTTTCAGTTGCCGAAACTTCTTCAACAGTCTCATCCAGAACCAAGTTCATGAAAGGATCAAATCCGCGTAGAATTCCGGTTACTTTTCGACTTCCATTAAGTTGAATAAACACTCTTTTTTCCATATACCTACGTGTATAAAATAGGGAACTCAATGAAGGACATAACAAACATATATAATAAGATCTTTGATTTCAGATTCATCACGTACTTTCTTAGTTCTGGTTGCGAAGTTTTCGACATTATTGCGATTTCAATCTCGCGAATTCTATTTCAATTTAAGTACAGTATAAATTTTAATAAATTTTTTCTTTGCCAATAAAATTAAAGATCGATGATAAATGGATAAATGGCTTTGATTGGCCATTGAAAATTTAGATATCTGTCAAATTTTGAGATATTAAAAGCATATCAATATATCAAAAATATATCGAAAGAAAATGTCAAAAAAAATCAAGACTGACAGTCAAAATGGACCTTCTTTTCTCAAGGGCTCTCAAACTCGAATTTTTCGGCCTTTTCGCGCCATTGGATATGTTACAAATGACGTACCATTTGACCTTCAAACAAAAGGGAATGCATATTTTGTCACAACATGTATAGGCAATAGCTTTCACACATATGAGGTAGGTTTGATTTATGTAATTCATTGAAATTGGGAAGCCTAAAAATAAACTAATTCGTCTTAAGTGCGCCAAACTTCATTTGAAATATGTAGGTATGTTCGATTTTTATATCACTAACCTTTTTTAAACAAACATTTTGGTTGTTCGATTAATGTCTATTGTTCAATAGGTACACAAACAGAGAAACCTATAACGGCACTTGCTTCATACGGAGACATCATTTTCGTAGCTTGTGCAAAAGATCTAATTGCTTTCAAATTTGGTAAAGAGGTAATGAAATATTTTTAATTTCGTTTAACGAATGTTCTAATAGTAACGATGATTGTTTCCTAGATTTCGCGCTATCATGGAAATCATCAAGGAAATATCTTTTTTTTGTCAATTTTTAGTAATTATATTATGGCCCTGAGCGAGGACAATGTCGTTATACTCTGGGATCATAAGTCTGGAGGTAAGATTAACTTAATTGGTAAAATTTATCATCTAAAATTCTTTATACACAATCTAATTTACTATAGTTTTCGTGAAATTTAATATTGCCTGAATTTATTCATTTATTCATTTATTCATTATGATTATCATTTTGTCTAGAATTATATTCTGAAATTCAATTTGATGAAAATTTCACGGTATCAACTATTATTCATCCAAGCACGTATTTAAACAAAGTATTACTTGGCAGTAGGCAAGGAACAATGCAAATTTGGAATATCCGGACAAAGTACAAACTTTTAAATTCATGTTTATTATTTTGTTTGAATTGTTTATGTTTATGATTTTTTTAATGCCAGAAAATTGAAATATTCATTTTCTTCGCTCGGATCTTCAATTACATCACTCGTACAATCGCCCGTTGTTGATGTTGTCGCGATCGGTCTACTTGATGGTACAATAATCCTTCATAATATCAAGTTAGATGAACATATTATGTCTTACAAACAAGAGGGTTGTGTTACATCTATAACTTTCAGAACAGGTATGAGATTTATATGAATGATGTTTATTTATGAAACACCCTTATTCAATAAGTTCAAATATTAGATGATCGACCCATAATGGCGTCCGCCAATATGTACGGTGATATAGCTCTTTGGAACCTCGACGAGAAAAGATTATCACATATTATCAAAGGTGCTCATGATGGATTAATCCCTTCGATACAATTTCTTAACGGCCAGCCTATATTACTTACTTCTGGAGCCGATAATTCTATAAAGGTATTTATTATCTATAAATCTCATTTGTTTATTGCCTGAGACAAAATTTGTATTTACTAATTACGATTTAGGAATGGATTTTTGACTCTTTGGATGGAGTTGAGCCTCGTCTTTTAAAGTCAAGGAGTGGTCATCATGCTCCTCCAACTAAAATTGAATTTTATGGATCAGATGGTCATTTCATTCTAAGTGCAGCTGGTGATAGGTCATTAAGAGCATTCTCATTTATACGAGATTCACAAAGCGTAGAATTGTCTCAAGGTGAGTTGTGCTTTTTATCCTTGGATGCACGTTATATCAAATGTTCTCTTATCTTATTTCTATATCCAATATTAGGATCCATACTCAAAAAGTTTAACAAAACTAAAGATCATATAAGAACTATTGATGCTCTCAAGTTACCGCAAATAACCCATTTTTCTTCATGTAAGGTTAATTATTTTATTTTATAAGCGTATAAAGTTTGTCTGGGCTTTATTTAAAGATTAAGTCAAGAATATAGTAAAAATATCATTAAAATGAACCCTTAACAAAAGAGACTTAAAATTGTTTATTAAAGCAAAATATTAATTATTATCGGATTATCTGTTTCTAGCTGAGGTAAAGCAGAAAGAGTGGGATAATATTATTTCTTGTCATATGAATAATAATGGGGCTCGGACATGGTCATTTCAATCCAAAGTTATTGGCAAACATGTCCTTCGTACGTTTGATGGATCACATATTAAGGTATACAATAATTGAACTATTTATTAAAATATAGTTTTTATATCATTACATTGAGTTTGGATTTTGGAAAAAAATGATAGGTTTCAAACATAAGTGCATGTGGAAATTTCGGTTTCATCGGATCATCTTCCGGCTATATTGAAATGTTTAATATGCAATCCGGCATTCATCGGAGAACCTTTACTGGGGAAGATAGTATGTGTATTCATTTAAAATGGTCACAATAGTTACACGAATCCTTCAAACTTTTTTTAGTTAAACAAATCTTATTGCAGAACACACAAAAGCCATTTCTGGCATAGCAAGTGATGCGCTTAATCGTATTGTGATCAGTAGCTCTCTTGATGGCACTGTTAAGGTGAATGAAAATAAATTAATTTATAGTATAAATTAAATGTATTAATGGATGATCCTTGTTTGACTTTAATTCTAGATTTGGGATTTTAATACAGCAAAAGTTAAGAGCACGATAGAAATAGAGTCTCCAATATCAGTTTTACGATTTCATACCGAAAATGATTTGTTGGCAGTCGTTAGTGATGACTTGTGTATTCGAGTTATAGATGTAGAAACTAATAAAGTTATTAGAGAGTTTTGGGGGCATAAAAATCGAATAACAGATTTGGTACGAAATTTAACAGAACTTTTCAAGTTAAATAGGTAGATAATAATATTGACGCCATATTATCCAAAAGACATTTAGTCCCGACGGACGGTGGATCGTTTCTACATCTCTTGATGCTACAATTCGTACTTGGGACCTTCCAACTGGCCATCTAGTAGACATATTTCGAGTGGAAAATGTCCCAACTAGTATAACATTCTCACCAAATGGTGATTTTTTGGCAACTTCACACGTAGATCTTGTGGGAATCTTCTTATGGTGCCTAATTATTTTTATTTATTCATTTATATCAATTTATTTATCTAATAAATTTTTGTTGTTATTGATACAGGGTAAATAGTACACTATTCTCTAGTGTTACATTGAGGAGAATAGATGATGACAATGATATTTCTTTGGTTGAGCTTCCAACCACATTGGGCATAGAAGATAACAATGAAGGTACAATGATAAATGTTTATATTTCGTTTTATTGGTCTCTACTAACGTTCTCTTTTGATTCATCAAATAAGATTTGTTTGTGTCTAATTCTAATGAAACAAATGATGTTTCATTTGAAACACCGGAACAGCTCACGGAGCAAATGATAACTTTATCATCGCTTCCGAAGTCTAAATGGCAAAATTTATTGAATTTAGAAACTATTAAGGTAAACAAGTTTTTTTTTTAAAAAAAAAACTTCAAAATAATTCCGTATAAAAATTTAATAATATTTTCCTGAATAACTTAATCATTGTGAATAGAAACGAAACAAACCTAAGGAACCTCCCAAAGCTCCAGAGAGGCCACCATTTTTCCTCCCTACACTGCCCGGAGTTGATCCAAAATTTGTTCCTTCCATTTCCTTAAACGAATCTGAGAAAGAAAAGAAACAAAAAGGTGGTAAAACCTTAAGTTTGAATGATATTAAAATAGAGACGGAGTTTTTAAACATATTAAAAAGGAATCACTCTACTGGAGAATGTAAGTTTCTTTTTCTCAAATTGATATAAGAATTGGAACCGATCAAATAATCTATCAGTGTTGGTATTGGACATATGTCTAATGACAACACTGCTTTCTATTGACCGGCTTCCTAACAACTGAACGGTTTCAATTTTTAATTATATCAGCTATTTAATATCTGTTTTATATCATTAGACACCGAGTTCTTCAATTATGCGAAAACTTTAAACCCTTCCGCAATTGACTTTGAATTACGTACGCTGAGTCTTGACAACAATTTTGAAGATTTAACGTTTTTCTTAGATGCGATAAAATCAAGACTAAAATCTAAAAAAGATTTTGAATTGGTTCAAGCATATTTAAATCACTTTTTAAAAATTTATGGCGATATTATTACTAGTAATTACGAATCACTTGGAAGTCATTTAGAATCAATATTAAATGAGCATAAAAAAGAATGGAATAGAATAGATGAACTACTGCATTATAATAATTGTATTTTAGAATTTTTTAGAAAATAAATTATCCGAAACACAATTAAAATTAATATATCACTGATTTAAACAAGAACACATTAAAATTTTTGCAGCATTGTTTTTTGATTTATTTAAAGAAATTTGTCATGTTTTTGTAATACTACAATCAGAAATATTGAAAAAATATCGTTATTGGCGTTTGATAATCTTTATATTAATTATATATATATGTATATATGCTTCTTGAAGAAAAAATAATCCTCCTCTACGTGAGATCTATCATTTTCCTTTAC